GATTACACATGCATAGAAAACTTATCATGATACACGTAGATATACGCAACAGTACCTGTTTCTTTTAGAATGTTCAGACTCTCTTCTTTCTTCTCATCATAAACTCTAGTACCAGCAACTTCTCTCAATAACTTCAACCTGTGTGAATCAGGAGCAGTCGCTAACTGAGTAATCTAAAAAATAAATAAAAATTAAAAATAATACATGTAAACGTACAATACATTAAAACCAATAAAAACAATGATATAATAAACAATAGCAAACTAATAAAAAGTGTCAACTTTTGTTTGTGATTATTTATTTAAAAATAAAATAAATAAATATAATTACTTTTCCTTGTTTAACAATATAATACGGGTTACTGCGTGAAAAACCAGCTCCTTCCAATAGGCACATGACATCATTTTTACTACACAAAGAGAAAAATATAATAAAAAGACCTCCCTTCATCCTCCATATCTCACGTGACATGCTTCCCATCCAAGTAATAATTGTCCTTTTTCATTCCAATCACACGACGCAGTGTCACTTCTTCGCTCTCAATCTGCCGGGCATTATTTAGAATAAAACAAGCATTAATTGGAATAACTAACTTGTATTCGGTGGTCGCTGTTATCAAATATAATTTCAACGTAAGCTGTGACAGTGCGTGGACCAGTACCCTCCTATTATTAGTAAATAATGATTCTCTTTCTCTCTCTCTGTGTCTTACGTGTAGCAGCTGTTGTCTGTCATCAGGTTTTAAATGAGTGAAATCGTCACTTAATACAAACTGTATTGCTGTAAAATTTAAATTTTAAAACAAATATACATGACATCTATACTAACCAAAAAAGAAGTTACTTTTCCCTGATCCATTTCTGCCAACTAGAGAGAGAGAGAAAGAGATGGGGATATATGACATACATAGTGATTATTATTATTATATATTCCTTAATTATTACTTGCTCCTTACCAATTACATTATGCTTTGGACTGAATGGTTCTACTTCTGTTTGATCTTTAAAGCTTCTAAATCCTTGGATAATAACCTAAAAAGATTATATATATCTAAAATAAACCATATTAACTTTATAATAACTCACTTACCTGCTTTATATACATACTCTCTCTTCAGCTGACAGCCCAGCTGCAGCT